TGTTGTTGTTGTTGTTGTTGTTGTTGTTGTTGTTGTTGTTGTTGTTGTTGTTGTTGTTGTTGTTGTTGTGGTGTTGTTGTTGTTGTTGTTGTTGTTGTTGTTGTTGTTGTTGTTGTTGTTGTTGTTGTTGTTGTTGTTGTTGTTGTTGTTGTTGTTGTTGTTGTTGTTGTTGTTGTTGTTGTTGTTGTTGTTGTTGTTGTTGTTTTTTTTTTGTTGTTGTTGTTTTTGTTGTTGTTGTTGTTGTTGTTGTTGTTGTTGTTGTTGTTGTTGTTGTTGTTGTTGTTGCTGTTGCTGTTGCCGTTGCCGTTGCCGTTGCTGTTGCTGTTGCTGTTGTTTGTTTTTGCTGTTGTTTGCTGTTGTTTGCTGTTGCTTGTTGTTGTTTGTTGTTGGTTGTTGTGGTTGTGGTTGTGGTTGTGGTTGTGGTTGTGGTTGTGGTTGTGGTTGTTGTGGTTGTGGTTGTGGTTGTGGTTGTGGTTGTGGTTGTGGTTGTGGTTGTGGTTGTGGTTGTGGTTGTGGTTGTGGTTATGGTTGTGGTTGTGGTTGTTGTTGTTGTCGTCGTCGTCGTCGTCGTTGTTGTTGTTGGTGGTGGTGTTGGTTGTTGTTGGTGGTTGTTGTTGCTGTTGCTGCTGGTGTTGCGCTTGTTCTTGTTCTTGTTCTTGTTCTTGTTCTTGTTGTTGTTGTTGATGTGGCTGTTGCTGTTGCTGTTGCTGCTGCTGTTGCTGTTGCTGTTGCTTGTTGTGCTGTTGCTGTTTCTGTGGCTGTTTCGGAAGCTGTTGTTGCTGTTATTCTTGTTGTTGTTGTGGTTGCTGTTGCTGTTGCTGTTGGTCGTGGTGGTGGTGGTGCCATCGTTGTTGTTGTTGCTGCTGCTGCTGCTGCGCCGTTGCCCTCCGTTGTCTTTGTCGTGCTTGTGCCGGTCCTCGTGCTCGTCCCCGTTCTGATGCAGCGTTATCCTCGTTCTGATGCTCGTCGTCGTCGTGGCCGTATTTGTCTTCGTTGTCTTTGCTGGTTGTATTGTTCTTGTCTGCGCTGTCATTATTGTTATAGTTATTGTCATTGTTGTTGTGATTGCTGTTCTTTCTTGTGTTACTGTCCTGATGTTTCTTATTTTTATAACTATTGCCGTTGTTGGTAGTGCTGTTGACTTTGCGAATAGTCTCGTTGACCATGTGGCTGGTGTTTCTGTCGCTGCTGCTGGCTCTGATGGTGGCCGTGGTTTCCTGATGTTTCAGCGTCTCTGCTGCCATGAAGCCTCGATACCGATACGCTGCGTGCAGTGGATTGTGGGTCATTGTAATTTCATCGCCGGCCACAAACGCCAAAGCGTCCAAGTGGAAACCTTGGTGCAACATGTGACACAGACAACTCTCGCCAATCTTTCTTAACAAAAAACTAACGTGGAACTCAAAGAGACCCCATTTCCCCTACATATTTGTGTGGTTCGTGCAGCTTAGTGTCTGTGTGAGGACTCGAGCACACCTTCCGGTTCACAGGTTACTCTGCAAAGCCGGAGAATTTGGTGACCAAGGCCTTCTAATCTGGGTGAATCATAATACTTCACCAACCTGAGATAAGGTGGTTGGGAGGCTATTTATTCCCAACATAAACCCCCTTCTGGGGTGAATTCGGTTGTGTGAGGTGAAAATTCACCCAGTTCAATTCTCCAATGTGAATGCAGCTGAAGAGCGGTCTGGTGAGAAAGATCGCGTCGCCACGAAGGAGCTGGGCGCTACGGAGGAGGAGATGCTTTCGAATTCGAGCAACTCACCACTTTCATCGCGAAGCGCACTCGCACTCACCGCCAGTATGAGGGCTAACCTCATGCATCTAAGGAATGGAAGCCAGCAGTACTTTGCAAAAGACGCTTGAGACTGAGACGTCTGCGGCACGTAACGTGCGACCAGCACGAATCGCACGACGCCATGACAAAGCACCGATCTACACAAGAAACAGTCATGAGACGCTGAGTTTGTGAGCATATGAGTCCCGCTTGCGCTGCTAGAGTCAACTTGATGGTTCGTACCGAATGGTGCCAATCGCCTGATCGATCTGTGTCCAGCTGGTTCCGCAGCGATTCAGCAGTCTTGCGGATCTCTTCTTCCTTACAGCATGGCATCGACAGTACCATACCTGTTCAATGGTCACAGCCAGCCTAAGTCACTCCAAATAAGCTTGAATCTGATTCTCACTTGCCCAAAAGACCTGGAAATAGAAGGTTAACCTTTTGGGACCTTTACTAACAATGGACCAAAATGGGAAAACTAAAAGGTCAAAAGGTCGGCTTTGGGCAAGTGAGGATTAAATTGCGGCACACGAAAACCAATCTCCCTGTGAAAGCCCTGCAGGTGAAACGCGGGACCCGAACAACATGGACGCAGTCCAAGCGTCTGATGCCCCTTCCCCACAGCTGCGAGCGAAGAGCGTGCACGCCTCGCACGTCTTTCACTTTTTCCAGCCATCAGCCAGGCAGCAATGGTTACGAGTCGGCTTGTTACCATCAGCAAGGCAATGGTTACGAGTCCAAGGCTTGTTTCATGGATCACCCCCCTCAAGGCACGAGAGACATGGGCGAGAGTGGGCGCGTCTGGATGCGGACTCGGATCTCTGGATCTGAATTTATACCTTATCCAGCATGTGTTGAAAAGATCCTTTGGACAGCTTGACACCTGCGAAACAGCCCTCAACATCGGACGGCATCGTATCTCTCACCCGAACCCGCCTCCAGCGCATCGATCTCCCCAGAGCCATCTTTGTCAGCTTGTTGGAACTGTCGCCGCAATTCCTCAAGAGCGCGGCACCGAAATACCAGCTACCCCAAACCTTTTGCGATCTGGCAGACGTCTAGGAAATCAAGAGATCCAGTCCTCCCTTATTGGCCCCATGGACCCTCCAAAATGGTGGTCGTCCTTTTGGTTTCCTTGAAAACCACAAACCAATGTTGGTATCCTAAGAAAAGCAACGCCCATGTCAAGATTCCAAATGGACCCTCTGCCCACGTGAGCTGCAGTCTCGACTTCAAGAGCTCAAGCTGAGGACGTGGTATGATGACTTTTGCTGCTAGCTCGCCCTTTGAAAACAATGTTCGGAAGGCGGAATCTGAAGGAAAGAAGCAGGGCTGGCCCGGTCCAGAAAGCCTAGAGAACCAAAGGCCCCCTACCCCCCCCCCTTTTTCCTTCCCCAGCAATAGTTCTTAGGATTGTTTCTGGGGGGAAGGGGGGGTGTCAAAGTCTCTGGCAAGGTGAAAGCCCGAGGAGCTGCAATGACCTCTGGATCGAACATAGCTTCGCAGGACCCAGCTGCCATTACGAAAGAGGCAAAGCGTCGAGCGACACCTCTCTCGTGACCTCCTTATGCTCAGAGCTTGTATCTCAACAGCCGCAACATCTCGCATGTAACAGTTGTAGTGAAGAGTGGCACAGGTCAGAGTCTTGATGGAACAGTAAGGCCGCGCTTCTTGTCCGGGTTGCCTGAGGCCTTCTCACTCGCACGAGTGAAACACGGAACTCCCGTGGCGCTCTTTGCCGTGATCCGAAGAGTTTCCTGCGTGAATTTGCAACTCAGCCGCCAAAAACAGACCTTCCTCTGGAAGACCGATGACCGGCTGCGAATTCATCTCAACATGTCGCATCCAGAGATTGCTCTTTGAGCAGTGGGTTTAGTCTGTACATGATAGCTTCTTGCACATGCGTTCCTCGTGCATCGCCAGCTCACGTGCCTTCCCCGTTTGAGCAATCAAGACCTGTGACGAACGAATTTGGCGCTTCGAGGCCGATGCCTCCCCACAGGCACCCCGGCCAAGCGAAAGGAAAAAACGTGGCTGGTGCCGTTTGTTGGGCCGACCCAAACCAGCTTGGGTTTGGGGGGTTGCAACAGTTTGGTATACCCCCCCCCCCCCCCTCCCGCTCCATGGGCCGTTGCCAATGGGTCGGGAGGCTTGGGTCTTACCCGCGCTTGAGCATACCATGGCTAGTGTTGACGTCAGCTTTGCTGGCAGTCTTGCTATGGATGGACGAAATCCTGTTTTAATACTGGGCAAAACCACCTATAACTGGAGTTTGTCCATCCACAGAAGGGTGGAGATCCTACTCCAAGCTATTCAAACACTGCAACAGCGCAGAACGATTGAGTTCTTCTTCAATTTACCGGACTTTCTGGTCAGCCTGCTTTCGTTTCACGGGGAGAGTCTATGGTCAGGTAAGCCTAAGGCTTCCCTTCCTTGCTGCAATAAGTATCCGGATCCGTCGACAGCGTCCCCACGACTTCTCGGTCCAAAACACAACTGGCAGCAAAACGTCTATCGCAAAATGCAAGACCTCCCAAAGCCACCTGGGAAGAAATTAGAGCACACTTCGCATTGGGGGGGGGAAGGGTCCAGCCCCAGCTTGGACACATGGGTTCCTGTCCAACATGGGAATCTCAACCATCTTTGGTAGTCCCAAACAATCATTTCAGCCGCACACTCATTGACACACACACACACATGCACATTTGACTAGTCCTGGCTTTCAGCTTTAGAACCCTGTAACGCGTTAAGTTTTACATGGGGTCTCATGCAGCTCGCCCGCCTTCTTGTTGGCCGGGCTGTCCACTTCTTCCCGCTGAAGCAGCGCCAGGACGGAAGCCTCGATCTCGCGGATGGCCTCCGGGAGTCCTCGAAAAGCAGCGCCAGAACGGCTCCGTGTCTGTCTCTCTCCAAGGAAACAGGTGGCAAAATGGCTGTGGCTCAAAAAAGTGGAATTCCAAAATGGCACCTTGGTAAATGGAACCAAACACTAAAACCCGCGTAACCCCAGCTTTTTAAATTTGAGCCATACCAAAATACTTTCACTGGTGTTGGCGTGGACCTCTGTCCCTCTTTGGCTGTCTCTCTTCTCCGCTGGTTGCTTCCCTCGTCCAAGGAGGACCTCTGTCCGAAGGGTTCCCCCAATAGGACGCCTCCCCTCAGGCCGAAGTCACGCTCTCTACGCAGGAAGCCACCCTCGCATAGGTATGCGTTTGCATCCATCACCTGCCGACCGTCAAAAACGGGGAGCGCAACTCATAGCGCTGACGACACATTTGGAATGCTTCTGGTTGACTTACTACGGCAAATAGCTTCAGCCGAGAGGAGACATTGGGTGCAAAGTTGCGTCCACTCAAGACAATTGTGAAGCAACGAGTGCCCTCAAACCGCTCACACCTCCCCTTTTCGGCGCCTCCGTTCCGATGCGCTTGCCGTTGAGGAAGACTTTGTATGAGGTGCCACCCCAATCCACGATGACGTCCGGCTGAAAATCCTGAGCTTGAAGGCCAGGGAGGGAGGGAGGGAGGGAGGGAGGGAGGGAGGGAGGGAGGGAGGGAGGGAGGAGGGAGGGAGGGAGGGAGGGAGGGAGGGAGGGAGGGAGGGAGGGAGGGAGGGAGGGAGGGAGGGAGGGAGGGAGGGAGGGAGGGGGGAGGAAGCAAGCAAGAGCGAGAGGGAGAGCGAGAGCGCGAGAGCGCGAGAGCGAGAGAGCGAGAGAGCGAGAGAGCGAGAGAGCGAGAGAGCGAGAGAGCGAGAGAGCGAGAGAGCGAGAGAGCGAGAGAGCGAGAGAGCGAGAGCGAGAGCGAGAGCGAGAGAGCAAGAGAGGGAGAAACAGAAGGAAAGAAAAAGAGGCAGGGCGATGTCCATTCGATGTCAAACCCATGGAATTTGCGGGCTTCATGCCAAGCTGAAAGCGAAACCGTCTCCCATCCTCTGGGCTCCGGGCCAAGACCCCGGGCGGCAGGCCGCATCCCTCGGAAGCTCGGCTTACCTTTAGAGAGAGAAGCTTGGGACACCTGGGTGTGTCTATATACCTCTTTTCTAGGGATTTTTGAAGGGAAACCCAACAAGAACAACCTTTTTTATTATTTTTTTGGGGGCGGGGGGCACCCTGCAAAGACACCCCCGCTTCAAACCTCAGCCAAAGCCCGGCCTTGGTCAAAGACAGGCTGAAGTCATTGAGCAGCTGTGGGAACTTGTATCGCTTCGTCTGAGGGTCCTGAACACACAACCCTCCAGCCACTCTCAAGGAGCATATGGCGGATTGCCCGATGTTCGCGCAAAAGGATCTCGGCCTGCTTTCCTGCGTTCTGGTCGAAACTCTTTGGGCTTCCTTTCAAAACCAAGCTTTGATACAGCCCATTTGAGGCCTGTCCAAAGGGAAAGGGACCAATTCGGCGTCCCGTTTGTCTCCCCCTTTCCCCACCTTTTCTTGGCTGATTCTTCCTGGACCGGACCAGTCTGGACATTCATCAACATTGGCATGGCCAACTTCTCCCGTAGCTGAAAAATATCATGTTTGGTGCCTTTTCCCCTTGGATGAACCCGCAGAGAGTATGGTTGGTCTGCAACTTGCAGCTTGCCCCCGAATCGCTCAAAACTGTTGCAAGGCCAGCCGAAGCAAGAAAGCTCGAAACCAGCCCTCAGCCCAGACCATCCCCCTCCCCGAAACTTCGCCGGCCGCTCCTTGGCCCGGTTGTAAACCCTGGTCTGCGCCTCAGGGAACGCCTCGGGGATAAAGCGCGAAGGCACCTCCCTTCCCCGCGCAACTGCGTGGGAGCACACGACATGGTCTGTGTGGACCCTTCAGAGGAACATTCGAGTAAAATTCGATTAAGTCATAATCAAAACGTCGTCCAGCAACCAATGGCAAACAATCCAAGGAGCGGATATCCGCGTCATGTTGCACCTATTTCTGCTGAGGACTGGTCCCTCTTGACATTCATCTACCCTGGTTTTGATTGTGGCTGTTGGGCCAGTCTTGATATGACCCACGGACAATGTGTGGTTTGCTTCCTAAGAAGACATGGGCAAAATGGTCAACAGCAGCCTGCCAAACAAATCAGCTTCTGTGAGGCACAATCAAAACCTGGTGCTAAAAACATCCTATGTGTGTCTGTGTATCGCTTTTTACGCACCCCCAACATGGTTTCACTCGTCCTTTTAGTTTCCCGTTGCCACCAAAAAGAAACGGGTACCAACTCCAAAGACAAGAAACCCACATTGAGGTTGATCAATATTCCTGGCCCTCAAACGACCATGAGTGGAACATATCATATTTTTAGTGGTTATCCGCGATGGTTATTCCGTATTCACCGGACCTTTTGATCAACCCCCATCATTTGGCTGGTCAAACCCCTGTACCCCTGGTGAACATCAAGAATAGGTGGTATATGGCTGTGGCTCAAAATTAAACAGGGGGGGTTACGCAGGTGTTGGTCCATGTTTCCACTTACCAGGGTTCCATTTTGGGTACCGGCTTTTTGAGTCACGGCCATATGGGTGTTCATCCGCAAGCTGGAGGCATAGGTTCTGATCTATGGCCATTTGGGTGTGGCTCAAAATTAACCAGGAGGGGCAAACCGCAGGTTTTGGTCCATGTTTCCACTTACCAGGCGTCCATTTTGGGTACCGGTTTTTCGAGCCACAACCATATGGGCGTTCATCCGTGGAGGCATGGGTTATGACCCCCGGCCATTTTGAGGGCAGAGAACCCACCGACCGACCGGCACCTCGGCGAGGGCCTCGTGGAAGCGCCGCGCTGCGCCCCCGATCCTCCTCGCCAGCTCGCCCAGGCCCACAAGCACCGGGTCGCAAGGCTCCAGGACTGGCGACGCTGCTCCGGCTGCTGCGTGTAGTTGGTTTTTGGCGGCTAAAGTTGCTTGCGGGTGATTGTAGTTGGTTGCAGTTGGTTGCAGTTGGTTATAGCTGGCTAAAGTTGGTTACAGGTGGTTGTAGCTGGCTATAGTTGGTTGCGGGTGATTGTAGTTGGTTGCAGTTGGTTGCAGTTGGTTATAGCTGGCTAAAGTTGGTTACAGGTGGTTGTAGCTGGCTATAGTTGGTTGCAGGTGTTTGTAGTCGGTTGCAGTTGGTTGCAGTTGGTTATAGCTGGCAAAAGTTGGTTACAGGTGGTTGTAGTTGGTTGCAGTTCATTGTAGTTGGTTGCAGTTGGTTGCAGTTGGTTCTAGTTGGTTGCAGTTGGTTGCAGTTGGTTGCAGTTGGTTGCAGTTAGTTGCAGTTGGTTGTAGTTGGTTATAGCTGGCTAAAGTTGGTTACAGGTGGTTGTAGTTGGTTGCAGTTCATTGTAGTTGGTTGCAGTTGGTTGCAGTTGGTTATAGCTGGCTATAGTTGGTCGCAGGTGGTTGTAGTTGGTTGCAGTTGGTTGCAGTTGGTTGTAGTTGGTTCTAGATGGTTGCAGTTGGTTGCAGTTGGTTCCAGTTGGTTGCAGTTGGTTGCAGTTGGTTCTAGTTGGTTGTAGTTGGTTGTAGTTGGTTGCAGTTGATTGTAGTTGGTTATAGCTGGCTATAGTTGGTTGCAGGTGGTTGTAGTTGGTTGCAGTTGGTTGCAGTTGGTTGCAGTTGGTTGTAGTTGGTTCTAGCTGGCTAAAGTTGGTTGCGGGTGATTGCAGTTGGTTATAGCTGGCTATAGTTGGTCGCAGGTGGTTGTAGTTGGTTGTAGTTGGTTCTAGTTGGTTGTGGTAGTTGGTTGTAGTTGGTTATAGCTGGCTAAAGTTGGTTGTAGTTGGTTACAGCTGGCTAAAGTTGGTTATGGCTGGCTAAAGTTGGTTGCAGTTGGTTGCAGTTGATTGTAGTTGGTTATAGCTGGCTCAAGTGGGTTATAGCTGGCTAAAGTTGGTTGCGGGTGATTGTAGTTGGTTGCAGTTGGTTGCAGTTGGTTGCAGTTGGTTATAGCTGGCTAAAGTTGGTGATAGCTGGCTAAAGTTGGTTGCGGGTGATTGTAGTTGGTTATAGTTGGTTGCAGTTGGTTGCAGTTGGTTGTAGTTGGTTATAGCTGGCTAAAGTTGGTTATAGCTGGCTAAAGTTGGTTGCAGTTGGTTGCAGTTAATTGTAGTTGGTTATAGCTGGCTAGAGTTGGTTATAGCTGGCTAAAAAGTTGGTTGCAGGTGTTTGTAGTTGGTTATAGCTGGCTAAAGTTGGTTGCAGTCGGTTGCAGTTGATTGTAGTTCGTGGTAGCTGGCTAAAGTGGGTTATAGCTGGCTAAAGTTGGTTATAGCTGGCTAAAGTTGGTTGCAGGTGATTGTAGTTGGTTGCAGTTGGTTGCAGTTGGTTGTAGTTGGTTATAGCTGGCTAAAGTTGGTGATAGCTGGCTAAAGTTGGTTGCGGGTGATTGTAGTTGGTTGTAGTTGGTTGCAGTTGGTTGCAGTTGGTTGTAGTTGGTTATAGCTGGCTAAAGTTGGGTATAGCTGGCTAAAGTTGGTTGCAGTTGGTTGCAGTTAATTGTAGTTGGTTATAGCTGGCGAAAGTTGGTTATAGCTGGCTAAAAAGTTGGTTGCAGGTGTTTGTAGTTGGTTATAGCTGGCTAAAGTTGGTTGCAGTCGGTTGCAGTTGATTGTAGTTCGTGGTAGCTGGCTAAAGTGGGTTATAGCTGGCTAAAGTTGGTTATAGCTGGCTAAAGTTGGTTGCGGGTGATTGTAGTTGGTTGCAGTTGGTTGCAGTTGGTTGTAGTTGGTTATAGCTGGCTAAAGTTGGTTATAGCTGGCTAAAGTTGGTTGCGGGTGATTGTAGTTGGTTGTAGTTGGTTGCAGTTGGTTGCAGTTGGTTGTAGTTGGTTCTAGCTGGCTAAAGTTGGGTATAGCTAACTAAAGTTAGTTGCAGTTGGTTGCAGTTAATTGTAGTTGGTTATAGCTGGCGAAAGTTGGTTATAGCTGGCTAAAAAGTTGGTTGCAGGTGTTTGTAGTTGGTTGCAGTTGGTTGCAGTTGGTTGCAGTTGGTTGTAGTTGGCTAAAGTTGGTTATAGCTGGCTAAAGTTGGTTGCAGGTGATTGTAGTTGGTTGCAGTTCTTTGTAGTTGGTTGTAGTTGGTTATAGCTGGCTAAAGTTGGTGATAGCTGGCTAAAGTTGGTTGCGGGTGATTGTAGTTGGTTGTAGTTGGTTGCAGTTGGTTGCAGTTGGTTGTAGTTGGTTATAGCTGGCTAAAGTTGGGTATAGCTGGCTAAAGTTGGTTGCAGTTGGTTGCAGTTAATTGTAGTTGGTTATAGCTGGCGAAAGTTGGTTATAGCTGGCTAAAAAGTTGGTTGCAGGTGTTTGTAGTTGGTTATAGCTGGCTAAAGTTGGTTGCAGTCGGTTGCAGTTGATTGTAGTTCGTGGTAGCTGGCTAAAGTGGGTTATAGCTGGCTAAAGTTGGTTATAGCTGGCTAAAGTTGGTTGCGGGTGATTGTAGTTGGTTGCAGTTGGTTGCAGTTGGTTGTAGTTGGTTATAGCTGGCTAAAGTTGGTTATAGCTGGCTAAAGTTGGTTGCGGGTGATTGTAGTTGGTTGTAGTTGGTTGCAGTTGGTTGCAGTTGGTTGTAGTTGGTTCTAGCTGGCTAAAGTTGGGTATAGCTAACTAAAGTTAGTTGCAGTTGGTTGCAGTTAATTGTAGTTGGTTATAGCTGGCGAAAGTTGGTTATAGCTGGCTAAAAAGTTGGTTGCAGGTGTTTGTAGTTGGTTGCAGTTGGTTGCAGTTGGTTGCAGTTGGTTGTAGTTGGTTGTAGTTGGTTATAGCTGGCTATAGTTGGTCGCAGGTGGTCGTAGTTGGTTGCAGTTCTTTGTAGTTGGTTGTAGGTTGTGTGGCAGGTGGTTGTAGTTTGCAATTTGTTCTATAGTTGGTTGCAGGTGGTTTTAGTTGGTTATAGGTTGTTATAGTTGGTCGCAGGTGGTTGTAGTTGGTTGTAGTTGGTTGCAGTTGGTTGTAGTTGGTTGTAGTTGGTTGCAGGTTGTGTGGCAGGTGGTTTTTGGTTTGTTTGTTGTTTCTTGCTTTTGTTTTTTGTATAGTTGGTTGCAGGTGGTTTTAGTTGGTTATAGGTGGCTGTAGTTGGTCGCAGGTGGTTGTAGTTGGTCATTGGTGGCTGTAGTTGGCTGCAGTTGGATGTTGTTGGTTGTAGTTGGTTGTAGTTGACTGCAGTTCGTTGTGGTTGGTTGTAGTTGGTTGTAGTTGGCTGCAGTTTGTTGTGATTGGTTGTGGTTGGTTGTAGTTGGCTGTAGTTGGCCGCACTTGGTTGTGGTTGGTTGTAGTTGGTAGTAGTTGGCTATAGTTGGTTGCAGTTGGTTGCAGTTGGTTGTAGTTGGTTGCAGTTGGTTCTAGTTGGTTGTAGTTGGTTTCAGTTGGCTGCAGTTGGTTGTAGTTGGTTGTAGTTGGTGGTAGTTTGTTGCACTTGGCAATAGGTTGTTGTAGTTGTTTGTAGATGTTTGGTAGTTGCTTGCTTTTTCTCTTGTCCCAAATGTGACAAACAGCCAACCAAAGATGGCCACGGAAACATCTCCAAGTCTTGAGCTGTTCCCTGGAGCAGCGACTATCCTCGCTGCAAAGCAAGATGAAGGAAGGGTCCCAGCTGAAGAAAAATGTCGGACTGATCTCGACGTGAGACGTCCTTTTCGGAAAAACCAAACACGAAGCTCAGGACTCAAGAAGGAGATTCCCGCACATCTAGGGGCAAAAAGCCAAAATATTGCGAGAGATCACTACTCCCTCCAACTTGCGGCAGAAGCAAACATTCCCGTTGGTGAAGTGGGAATGTGCTCCTGGGGAATCCCTGATTCGGGAAGCCGGAAGTGGCCATAAAAGGGGGAAGCCCCTTTGACACATGCCAATTGCCACATCTTGAGCTCTCTTGCAGACCGGGCACGATAGCCGATTGAATTGATGAGCAAAATTTGCCTGGCGTAGTTGTCGGCACCACGGAAACTTTGGACCGGTCTGACTTCTCACTCAAAATGATCTGCATTGTGCACAGACGGCTGGACCAGCTGGCCATCTGACCCTCTGCATCAAGCAGCAGAATTCTATCCAAGGCACTCGTAGGGCACCCCCACGTGCTTGATGATCTTGCAGAATTCCCGGAAGGACGCATCGTTGGCCACCTGGAGAGCTGAGTCCGGGCGAAACCCATCGCTGATCACCCTGAACTCGAGCCTTGGTCCCTGTCGGCACGGAGAGAGAGAGACCCAAGGCATCATAGGCCTGCGCACAGTTGGAAGCCTGACAGTATCCGTTGGTGTGTTCTTGTGGGAACAGAGGGCCTAGACCGAAAATATATTGAAGAAATCAGATAATAGATGCTACCAGTCGTTATCTCTGGCACTCAAGCGCGCATGACAAACAGTAGCTTAGCAGGCTTGAGAAACTACGTTAAATATGCCTGGTGTCAGCTTTCAAGGACAATTGGCTCAAAGCGAGTGCAAGAAACACACACACACACACACATCACTTGCAAAAGCTGAAGGATGGGTATCTGATTGTTGCTGAGGCCGCTTTGAGCCCGTGTTCGATCTCGTGTCCTTGTTTAACGAGGCCTCTACAAAGCCATGAAAGAAATAAAACTCCCGGAGTAACAACAAACAGGAAACCAGGCCCAAATACGTTCTCCGTGTTTTTCACAAACTGTTTGCTTCTTGCAATCCTTGTCTAAATGGGCCATAGGGGTCAACTGGGCGTGAGCAAACCCGCCCAGTGGAACTCGTTGCGCCTGCGTGGAAGACGAGCCGACCGAGAGGAGAAGGCGCTTGGGATCCGTCAGATCACCTGCCGGCCGCAGTGTCAAACGGAGTGGAGGTGGTCATTTGGAGGTCTTGCAATGGGCATTGCTATTTGCCTCCCACGTGATCAGTATGAATGCACAAATACGCAGTTCATTGATTTCTTCCTGTGCAGAGTTTGCGAACCTATGAAGGCTGACAAAGCTTGGCCATATGAATCCAGTCGGTCCCCAAACCTCTGCACAGGCGGTGGGTCATGGATAACTGCCAAATACAACTCTCCACGCAGCGCACCGAGGCCAGCTTGAGTGAGGATGTCATGGTTCTCCTGGCCGCTACTCGCACTCTCGACCCGATATAAGCAACTGCTACCGGATCGGAGAACAACATCAACATCAAGTTCTGGGGGAAAAAACAAAAATGCCTTTATGACGAGCCCAAGAAGAAAGGCGTTGAAAAATGGCATCACTTTCGGCCATCGTCATTTCTGACAAAAATCCCCAAAGTCCCCACCTCGGCCTCCAGATCGAACAGAGCAATCCGCTCCTCAGCGTCACTGCCCCGGCGCGGATCCGGCTGTGAGAAACCCATCCAAGAAACACGCGTGAAGACTGCGAAGGGAGATTTGTCAAAAGGATTCCGAAAATAGGTTCAGGGTTCATACGAATTGAACGGAAGCAATTTGGAGGCTCCCGTGGATCGCAGAGTCATCCAAGGTCGTGAAAGACTTGATGTGTGCACATCACCGCTGTTCAGCTAATGAGGCGTGGCTGATTCTCAGCTAGGGGATTGGTTTGGGCAATAGCATGCAATCTGTACATTACTATCGTGATATAATTCGCTGCGGCCCCAAAGACAAAAAGACAAAGGACCCAACAATTCCATGTCAGCCCTGACTCTCAGTCAATCCAAGTGATCCCAGATGCGAGATTTGCGCTTCACTTGAGGGCCCAGAAAGCTATTGACTGTCGGTTCTATCATCATAATTACAAGGGTGTGAATGGTTTGTATAAGCCTCACTGAACTCGCCACCAAACTGGAGAGTAGTTGGAACCTGTTCTTAAATTGGCACATTGGGTTTCTTGCGCAACCCACGTTTTCGCACATGCGTCGACACTTCACTCAGGCTCGGTCCATCCGCGCTTCATCCTATCGCAGAAAAACGCGCACGAGAGCCCCGAGAGAGCACAGCACAAATCTTGGGATACAAACCAACAACTCCGATATCACACACTCGCACGGATTCCTCGATTTCTTATTTCCACATCCAAGTCTTGACCTGCCACAAGACGAGACATCGACTCCCGCCTCTGCAGAGAGAAACACGTGCTTGGTTTGCAACGTCTGCGAAGGGTGTACTTGAGACTTGTCCAAAAGCACCTGAGAAGTGCCAAGCACAGCCCGATCTGTGACATTGCTCTGTTGCGATTGTGCTCAAACCATAATGCTGGGGAACTCTGCAAATCGGGAAACCAGCCATGCGACAAAACTTCCAAGTGGGTAACCGTTGCCCGGAGGACGTTTTTTTGCTTAGCACTGGCTTCGTGCGCAGCACCGGCTCTGGGAACTGGGGCCCAATGCCTTTCAAGATCAACACAGCCGCCAGGAAGCAGGCAAGGGGACTGAGGCTCGGGAAAAGCTTCCAAATGCGACAGAAAACCTGGAAGACGCAGAGCAAGTAAGTTGGCAAGATTGTAAAGGCGTTCAAGATGGCTCAGGCGTCAAAAAACACGTATTAATCATCAAACATTTGTTTCTAGAAATTGAGAAACAAACCATTGCAAAAAGACTGGAAACTGTGGCATCAAACTTATTAGGCATCAAAAAACAACCTTGTAAGGCAGGCTGGGGTTGGGTTGTTAACAGTTTGTTGGGGGTGAGCTTACTGCTGGTTGGTTTTGGGCTATTTGGCTTAGAATGGGTTTAGGGTGAGTTTAGGGCGGGTTTGAGGTGGGTTCGGCGGTTGTTGGGTGGGTTTACCCACCCTAGATCAACCCCAAACCAAACAACCCCGAACTCCGCAGCAAACCCACCCCCAACAAACTCTAAACAAAGCAACCCCAGCCATGCCCTACAAGCTTGTGTGAATGCCTCATAGGTTCTGGTTTGATGCCGCAGTGTTCAGACTTGCTAGTGACTGCTAGTGTGTGTTTGCAGCGTTGCTTGAGAAGTTGTTTATTGTTCTTTAGAAATAGGTGTTTTGGCGCAACCAAACAAAAACAGTATCAGCCAACGATCCAACCCAACCAACCAACCAACCAATCAATCAACTGACCAACCGACCGACCAACCAACCAACCCACCAACCAACCCACCCACCCACCCAACCAACAACCCACCCACCCACCCGACCAACCAACCAACCAACAAACCACCCAAAAACCCGTTTCTCGCCAGTGCTAGACACTAAGCGAGCCGGTTTCTTCGCAAGCAAAAAGAAAGTTCCGACAAAAAGATCGTCTCCAGGGGCAACGGTGTGCGATCAATCTCAGCTCGCTGCCCAATCCAGGAATTCCTGAATGTCCTCGGTGCTCAGAGTCTCAGAGCCAAAACCAGGAAGCCACGGTAAACAGGCCCAGGTTCTACGAAGCCATCACAGTTGGTGTCCAATCCTGACCCAACTTCTGATCGAATTCCGATGGCTCTCGGCAAGCGCACCATGCTTGCATCTCGAATTCCAGACATCCCACTGCTGCCGAGCCTGCCAGCAATTTGTCCAATGTCTCGTGCAGATTGGACCTTGGATGAAACAAGCCAAGTGGAAAACAAGGAAAAATGACCTCTTCGTCGTTGTTTGGCTGCACTACCTGGATCTTCGTCTGTTGCCCAACCGCCCACGAAAAAATCGCTGCATGTGAATGTGTGTGTGTGTGTGTGTCTGCAACCAATTCGTCGTAACATCTCCCAGCACATCCAGGTCGTGTTCTTTAAGTTTAAAAAAAAAAAAAAAAAAAAAAAAAAAAAAAAAAAAAAAAAAAAAAAAAAAAAAAAAAAAAAAAACGTGAAGCGCTGGGCGCGCGGCCATCTGGCTTTCTTGAACGTGCCCACTCTGTCCAGCACAAAAAACAGCTCGTCTTTGTCTATAAAGCCATCCTGAGTGCGATTCACATCTCGGTCTCCGAGATGGCGAAAACTGAGAGAAGCCAAGCAACCCCATTGGCATCCACTCGAATCAGCACTTGATGCAAGGTGTGTCTCACCTGCGGTAGTGCATTGGCGCGTCCCTCGGTCCCTCTAAGCACAAATCCAAAAAACAACCTGCCTCCAACAAACTGCTGGCCAGAGGCTTGCTCATGCACGGTGCCACATTGATCGATCAATCCATGGGTCGACCATGGAGCACGGCCAAGGCTTTGAACAAAAAGCGGCGAACCGGAAGGACGAAAACATCTCAGAAAACTCACATGACCAGTGCCAGCCGCTGTCCAACATGTCTTTGCATCCACGTAGATTTGAAAAGTCCTGTGGGATTCCAACACGTAGTGGTTTCAGTGCAATCTGGGCCCCTCTCAACTGAGCTAAAGCAACAAATTCAGCCTCTGAAGCACTATTTCGTTTGTGAAAACATGCATTGTCTGAATATCAACGCCCCAGCTGCGACGACAACGAAACTTAGAACAGTCTGTTTGCCGAAAGATGTGTGAATAGTGCACGGCAATTTTTGTCTTAAGTTTTATTTTTTGAGGCCTTATGTTTTTGAAATTCAAGTTGAATTGCAATATTGAGCGTTTGAGGTGCAAAGTGTCTGAGGATATTATCTTTCAGTATCTCAGCTCAGCATGTTCCACCACCATTGTCATTTAAATCATGAAAAAAAAGGGCGGCCAAACCAACCAACACAAACCAACCAGACATCTTGGAGCTCAGCGTTTAACTGTGCTCCAACTCTATACCCACGCACGCATTCAAGCACCCAAAGGAGCAAAAAACAGAAACGCTGAAAAAGCGAAAGTCACGTAGCCAAAAAACAAAACCGGTGCGCGACGACAAAGGAAAAGGCCGGGCGACGTGCAAAGCGCACGGCCAATGAAAGAAACACTCGCAGAACAGGGCCAAAAGCAGATCCGGTAAGAAAGGATGTTGTATAAAAAACAAATAGGGCAGCATGCCAAATAGACGACACACACTTGAACTCCCGAGGGAGGTTGCTTATCTTCGAGTACAACTTGTCGGCTGGGTTAGTTCGAGTGGGTAATTTTCGAGTGGCGAGACCGATGGCTTCCCTCTAGAGTCGAAAACGTTTCCAGTTCCAACATGAAGCACACACAGCAGGCAAAACCAAGGGGGCCAACAGGACGTTGTATCACTGCTGCAGGTACGCCAGAGTGGCCAACTCCGGCATCCCGTCTTGCTGCCTAGCTTTGTTAGACGTGGTTCCAGGGTGAATCTGGAACTTGGCAGGTCACATCCACCCAGAGCAGGCGCTATCAAGAACGGTAAGCACCAAAGCGTCGTCTTGACATCTCTTTTTGAATGCTCAACATCAACACGACGAAGCTCGCAAAGGCAACGGCGGCTCAACCAATTTGCATGTTCGCCCGACCGACAATTTTCGAATCGATATCTACAAAGCACCAGCCCGCTGGCGCCGGCCACTCCGAACCCCGCCTGTTTCATCCAGAGGATCCAGCTCGCCAACGGCCAGCGCTGCGACGACATCAACTACTACGGCCGCACCGTGGCGGTGCACGATCTGCTGAAGGGCCGCGAGTACAACCAGAACAAGGCCGTGGAGGGCTTCGAACGAACAACCCCCGGACGCCCCGCGCGGTGCACCAGAGAGAGCGGGCTTGTCATCGCCGCCCAGAATCCTGCAAATTCGCAGAGCCCGGGCTTTGTCATTGTTCTGGTATCGCCGGGATTCGAGCCCCAGGTCAGGGTGCTGCAGAGACGGGGCTTAACCACTGAGCCAAGGGAGTTTTTAGCTTCTTTTGGGTGCCAGGGGCAGCCTGCCGAGCTTGTCATCGATGTCATCGTTTTGTCATCGCCGGGATTCAAACCCAGAATCCTGCAAATTGCAGAGACCGGGCTTCTCATCGATGTCATCGTTTTGTCATCGCCGGGATTCAAACCCAGAATCCTGCAAATTGCAGAGACCGGGCTTCTCATCGATGTCATCGTTCTGTCATCGCCGGGATTGCGCAGAGACCGGGCTTGCCCGCTCAGCCAAGTGAGCTTTTCGGTCCTTTTGGGTGCCAGGGGCAGCCTGCCGAGCTTGTCATTGTTTCTGTGACAGATGTCGTTTCTGTGACAGCCGGTTTTGCAGGGTTTCGCACGGTTGTTCGGTGTGCATCGATGTCATGTTATCGCCGGGATTCGAGGCACCGTAGGTTTTCGAAGTGGGGGCAACCCCCAGTCGCCCAGAGGTCGCCCACGGTCCGTGTCACCCCGACACAAGCTATCGTAATCTTCCAAGCTAGTCCTCCAACGCCACGCTTCAAAGCGAGGCCGGCTCCGCGGCTTCGGTCCAAAAGCGAGGCCGGCTCCGCGGCTTCGGTCTAAAAGCAAGGCCGGCTCCGCGGCTTCGGTCCAAAGCCGCACGTTTTCCGCACGCGCGCAAACGACTCAAGGGGTTGTTGATACAAATACGTACCGCCCCACGAGCTGACTTCGGTCAGCACACAACCTGACTTCGGTCAGTCCTAAGAAAACATGATTGAAGGACCAGTCACCGGGTCCTGGAGTACACTTGGCCCCCAAAAAAGGAGCTGCCAGCTCCTGCAAAAGAGGGCAAGCGAGAGGAGTAGAAAAAAAAGGAAGTAAGAATTGCAAACGAGACATGGCTTGATACATTAAGACACAACACTGTTAGACTTTTTTGGTTTAGGAGACTTGTGGCTCCTCTCATGTTGTTTTGTTGATGGAGGCAGTTGAACATAAGCAAGAGAATCTTCATGAAGCCCAACACTGTAGACTTCGGAACATTTCAATCACAAATGGATGTTTCAATAACATCTCATGGTCCCAACATTGTGTTAGGGAAGATTGCTGTAAACCGATGCGAGGAGACTGGCTGAGGTCGCGTGAGAGGAGAAAAAAGCCCTTCTTTGTCACTTGGGGCAATTGCCATCGGTCACGAAACCTAATGTACAACTTAGAAAGAGATAAAGTGAGACGGAAGGTGAAACCGCAATACCTGCAGCGAGCAATCGAAACGACCAAAACAACACAGACAAAGAAAACACAGAAACAACGCACCCAGTCCAGGTATGGTTATTGAAGTGGCAGGCTTAAAAGTCAACAAATGCGCGCTCCAATCCGCCGGGGGCACATTTGCGCATCGTTAAATTTCATAAATGGCCATGCAGAGGGAGCAAGAAGCAAAAGTGAAGCGCAGAAAATTCTGCCAAGCAAACCAACGAGAGGAGTTAAAAATCTCTCACGGGCAAAAAAGCACAGTAAGTGACCAGGCAAAACAAGACATGCATGAAAGCGCGGCGCACAGGCATCCGCAGAGGCCGGCCCTGCGCATTTCTCACATGTACTCACAGCGCCACAACGAAAATCATTAAAGATGTGGCAAGGTAAGCAGAGGGCCAGAGGCGCACACGAGTCCGCAGAGCCAAGGACAGCGTGGGCCTCCGATCTCACGAATCGGCCAAAAGATTGCCAATGTAATTGTGGCGCCATAGTCAAAGTATAGAGTTGCGACGAGGGAGCCACTGTGGGAACCGACGGGACGCGGCCCCCATGGCTCTCCTGCCTGAATGCGCATCGAAAGATTTCAAAATGGGGAGGTAGGTGTGTCACAAATAGAGGATTGAAACCGCACGCACACGGAACTCGCTGCTTATGTCAGAGTTAAACTGAGACACGAAGGAGAGATCAATGCTTCTGTTGGTTGAGGCACGGTAGCGAGATCGCACAACTGATGGCCGCAGTGAGCACCACCTGCAACCACCACCATACCAAGGATTCTAAGGGAAGGACACCACTATGGAGTCCGCACTAACCACTTGAACAGCTGCCGACGGAAACCCCGCGGGCTGGAAAAGACGGGCGCTGGTTAGAGACCTGCAAGGCCTAGTCAAGGCTTACCTGCTGGGCAGTGGCAGAACGGACCACGTCAAGTTGGGGAGCGTGGCCAACATACGACTAAGTGCACTAAACCGCAGAGATGCAGTAAGTGGCATTAACACGGGTCTGCGCGCTGCCGCGCCAGTTTGTAAGCACAACGGAGGTAACGGACGGCACGCACGTCACCGCAGGGCAGCTGGGCGTCCTACGTTCAACTGTCAGACAGCGTCCGGCAACAACAGAGCAGCCATCCAGTCCCTCGATCAGGTCAACGCTGGACAGCAGCGCACAGGCGCCGGCCATTGTTTCGTCACGGCAGCGGCGGCAGGGCAGCATTGCAGAGCTGCACCGGACGAAGCGCCCCAAGGACGCAACGGCACGGCCGTGTGGACAACCACTTTGAGTGGGCGGCGACCTACAACGCCCGGCCGCACAAGACGGCGTACGGCGCCGCCAGGTACAAGCGCCCCGACATGAACGGCGACCTGAGGCTGCAATTTAGCCTAGACTAAAAGCATTTTGTATCCCCTTTATGGCATCTCAGCCTTTCGGAGAAGTTTCCACAAGTACGTGTCACCCTGACACAGTCCGTGGGTAACCTAAAAGCACAAGCAACATGTTGCTTCTCGCGTTCTGAAAGCGAGGAGCAGGTGTCGTGTTTCCGACACGTGACACGGGTTGAAAAATGCGCAATTGGTACACATTTTGACGTTCTTTTGCAAATTGGCAGCGGAGGACGTTTTTTTCCTCCACTGCTTTGTAAATTGGAACAAAGTCGGAGAGCGAAGTCGGAACGGTGGGAGGTCGGAATTCCAAACTTGGTGGAAGAGCAAAGTCGGAATTCCGACCTTGGTGGGAAGAATTCCGACCTTGGGTGGCGCGGGCTGCTCGCGCGCTTGCCGCTACGTTTAGATATGCGCAATGTAGCTGCGTTTCTGCAAGGCGAGCCCTCAAAAGAAACCCTTGGCTTCTGGCTGGCTTTTTGGCTTCTGGCTGGCTTCTGGCTGGCTGGCTTTTGGCTGGCTTCTGGCTGGCTTCTGGCTGGGTTTTTGGCTGGCTCTTGGCTGGCTTCTGGCTGGCTTCTGGCCTGTGTTGCCTGCCTTCGGGTCCTCCGTCTGGTTGGGCAGGCCCGGCGGCACGGTGAGGCCTTCTGACCGGCAAGCTCGGAGACGGAGGCACTCTTTGTTTAGAAGGGGTTTCCCAAATGGATTCTATTCCACCTGGTAGGCTCCTGACACTCGTCCGTCCAGGAAACGACCTCGTCCTGCGAAGAATTCAAAACCTAAAACGCTGTGCGCAGGCGTGTGGCTGCAACATAACGACCCCGAGATACGCTT